TCAAGACCCAACCTTGGCCATGGGGCAGATGTGGGTGCAATGGGGAACCCAGGGGTGCAATGGGGCACCAATGGGGGCTGTGGGGCACCCATGGGTGCTAAGGGGACACCTCACAAACAACCAGGGATGGCTATGGGGTTTCATTAACACACAAACAAAGGGGCTGATGGTCTTCAACCATTGGTTCGACCCAACACAAGACCCAACCTTGGACATGGGGCAGCTATGGGTGCAATGGGGCACCTCTAGGTGCTATGGGGCACCCATGGGTGCTATGGGGAGACCTCAAAGACAACCAGGTATCGCTATGGGGTTTCATTAACACATAAGACAATGAGACTGATGGCCTTCACCCATTGGGTCGACCCAACTCAAGACCCAACCTTGGCCATGGGGCAGATGTGGGTGCAATGGGGAACCCAGGGGTGCAATGGGGCACCAAATGGGGGCTGTGGGGCACCCAAAGGTGCTATGGGGAGACCTCAAAGACAACCAGGGATGGCTATGGGGTTTCATTAACACACAAACAACGGGACTGATGGCCTTCACCCATTGGGTCGACCCAACTCAAGACCCAACGCTGGCCATGGGGCGACCCGTGGGTGACTCGTGGGTCACTTGTGGGGCTCAGCTGATGTAAACCCGGTGGAAGTCGTGGGCCCCAAAGGCCGCGTTGCATTTGGGGCACTTCCTCTGCCTGGTGTCGTAGCGATTCTTGACGCACTCAAAGCAGAAGACGTGGAAGCACTTGGTCAGCACGGCGTCCTTCTTGCGGGCGTTGCAGCAGGGGCACGTCAGGCGGGCCTATGGGGGGGCAAGGGGGGGGTCAGCGCCCCATGGCTGCCCGCTGTCCCCTTCCATTCTCCCCGGTTTCCCCTCATTTGCCCTCAATTCCCACCCGCTTCCCTCCATTTTCCCCAGTTTCCCCTCATTTCCCCTCAGTTTCCTCCACTGTCCGCCATTTCCCCTGATTTTCCCTCAATTTCCCCTCAATTTCCTCAATCGTCCCCGATTTCCCCTGATTTTCCCCCCACCTCCTCTTAATTCCCTCCATTTTCCCCAGTTTCCCCTCATTTCCCCTCAATTTCCTCCACTGTCCGCCATTTCCCCTGATTTTCCCTCAATTTCCCCTCAATTTCCTCAATTGTCCCCAATTTCCCCTGATTTTCCCTCGATTTCCCATCAATTTCCTCAGTTTTCCCAATTCCCCCTAATTTTCCCCCAACCTCCTTTCAATTCCCCCTCGGTTTTCCCCAATTTCGCCTGGTTTTCCCTCAATTTCTATCAATTTCCCATCAATTTGCTTAGTTTTCCCAATTTCCCGATTTCCCCTCCATTTTCCCCAGTTTCCCCTCAATTTCCCCTGATTTCCCCCAATTTCCCCTCAATTTCCTCAATTTTCCCTAATTTCCCACAATTTTCCCTCAATTTCCTCCACTGACCCCAATTTCCCCTGATTTTCCCTCAATTTCCCATCAATTCTTCCTCAATTTTCCCCGGATTTTCCCTCAATTTCCCGTCAATTTCCTCAGTTTTCCCAATTTCCCCTGATTTCCCCTCAATTTCCCCTCAATTTCCTCAATTGTCCCAATTCCCCCAGATTTTCCACCAATCTCTGCTCAATTCCCTCTCAATTTCCCCTGATTTTCCCCCAATTTCCTGATTTCCCCTCCATTTTCCCCAGTTTCCCCTCATTTCTCCTCTATTTCCCCTGATTTCCCCCAATTTCCCATCAATTTCCTCAATTTTCCCCAATTTCCCCTCAATTTCCCCTCAATTTCCTCCACTGTCTCCAATTTCCCCTGATTTTCCCTCAATTTCCCATCAATTCTCCCTCAATTTTCCCCTGATTTTCCCTCAATTTCTATCAATTTCCTCAGTTTTCCTGATTTCCCCTCAATTTCCCCTCTGTTTCCTCCACTGTCCGCAGTTTTTCCCTGATTTTCCCTCAATTTCCCCTCAATTTCCTCAATTGTCCCAAATCCCCCTGATTTTCCCCCAACCTCTTCTCAATTCCCTCTCAAATTTCTATCAATTTCCCATCAATTTCCTCAGTTTTCCCAATTTCCCCTGATTTCCCCTCAATTTCCTCCATTTCCCCAATTTCCTCTGATTTTCCCCCATTCTCCCCTAATTTCCCATCAATTTCCTCAATTTTCCCAATTTCCCCTAATTTTCCCCCAACCTCCTTTCAATTCCCTCTCAATTTCCCCAATTTTGCCTGGTTTTCCCTTAATTTCTATCAATTTCCCCTCAATTTCCTCAATTTTTTGCAATTCCCTCTGATTTCCCCTCAATTTCCCCTCAATTTCCTCAATTTTCCCCAATTTTCCCTAATTTCCCACCAATTTCCCCTCAATTTCCTCCACTGTCCCCCGTTTCCCCTGATTTTCCCTCAATTTCCCATCAATTCTCCCTCAAT